CTCTGAAGATGATTGGGAGTGACTGAACATTGTAAGGGAACAGGGTGAACAGAGACACACAGGGTGTCACTGGGAGATAGCGATATCACAGCAAAAATGTGTGACAGAAGAAATGAGGTCTGGAGAGGGCTTATTGCATGCAGATGCACAGAACTCATCTCCAAGAGCATGGAATGCTCCAGAAAGGCTTCTCCAAAGTAAAATCAGGGTACTTGGTAATTGATTCAGAAATTCACTCTGGCAGTAATCGGAGGACCTGTTAGGTTAAGATGAGAAGGTCAGAATGATCACACTGGACAAGATCTGAGTGTTAAAAGTAGGTAAAGGGATATTCTTGATCACCTTTCTATATCAATATTGCATACCACAATTCCCAAAAGGAGAGAGAGAGAGAAAGAAAGAAAGAAAGAAAGAAAGAAAGAAAGAAAGAAAGAAAGAAAGAAGAAAGAAAGAAAGAAAGAAAGAAAGAAAGAAAAGCACCTGCCATAGGGCAGGCAGGGGGTGGGGGTGGAGGTGATGGGAGGAAACCTGGAGACACTGATGGAGGGATGAGTGTTAGAATACTCTGTGACTGAAATCTAATCATGAACAGCTTTGTAAGGGCCTATCTCACAATGATTCAATTAAAAATTTTTTAAAAAAAGATAAAAAAGTCAGATTCAAGGCAGATAAACCACTTGGCTGTTGTTTCTCCTTGTCCCAGCAAAAGATATGGAATGAGCTAAGGTAAAAGGTGAACAGGCATAAAGGATAGTATTAGCAAACTACTTAAGATACAAAATGAGACTTATTTACTGGTTAGATAGGGAGGAGAAGGAAGAGGACTTGCTGGCTTCTAGTTTCAGTGACAAGAGAAACAATTGACCAGTAGATAAAAATAGGATTCAAAATGAAGATATATAATTGGTTTCATTTGGAGTGTGATGACTTGGTTGCCTGGCAGATACGTGGTTAATGTCTGGGTGGCAGCAAAATACAGAGCTAGATCTCAGGAGAGATGCTCAGATCCATCTGGAATAGAAAGTACAGATTGTATGGTGATGGGGTAGACAACTCAGTGGTCCAGATATGTTGAACAGATACATGGATCAGGAAAAGAAATTTGGGAGAAGGCCAAGGTAGAACTTAGGGCACCTCTGCCTAGGCATAGGAGAAAGAAAAATGTAAGCTGTATATTCATGTAGATGTAAAGATGAATCGTGTGCATATGTCGTATGTAAACTAAATGTTATGTTTTTGTGAAGTTTTAGGCATTAAAATATCAACTTTTTGTGAGGGAGGACCATACCCATCAATGCTCTGAGGTTACTCCTGGATCTGCTCTCAGGAATTACTCTTGTTGGTACTCGGAGGACCAGATGAGAAGCCAGGGATCAAACCTAGTTCAGATACATGCAAGGCAAATGCCCTTCCCCTGTACTATCACTCTAGCCCCTAGGCAGTAACATATTTTAATGGTATAGTTTTTAATGGTTTCTACTTTACAGTAAACAATGTTATAGTTTTTCTTGGATTGTAATTATGGAGGTTCTTTTCTAAATGGGGCTTGGGGTGCAGGGCATGCCAAGCATTGCTTAGTGCTTACTCCTTTACCTCTGGCTCTGCACTCAGGAATCTTTCCTGGCAGTTTTCAGGGGACCAAATGGGATGCCAGGGATCAGACTAGGGTCAGCCCCTTACAAGGTCAGCACTCTACCCACTGTGCTATCTCCCCAGCCTCCAATGTTCTTTCTTATTTTCACTTTTGTTCTACCCAGGTATTTAACTAATTGTATGAGGCCCGCTTACATTGGGGAGGATGATCTGCTTTATAAACAACCAGAGTGGGAACATACCCAGAAAATTACTTGAATAGCCAAGTCCTCAGTGACCCAGGCAGCTTGGCACAAAATTCATCATCAGCCTGTATCTGTGAAGTAGCAGGGAGCAGGTCATCCTGGTGCTGTTCAACATGGTGACTCTTGCCCCAGCTGCTATTGAACACTTGAAATGTGACTAGTACCAGTGGTTGATTTGAGACTGAATAAGTTAAATGAACTATTTTCTTGCAATGAATTTTACTGCTGTTTTTACTTTTTTAAGTGTGGTTGATAGAAAAATTTTAAATGCTATAAGTGGCCTGTATTATATTATATTTTTCCTGTTCTAGAGGGGAAGGCAGTGATCTGCCTTTTGGTATTGACAGAGCTGAGTCAGCAAGTTTTAGTGATGAGTCAAAGGGGCCAAAAAAGCAAAGAAACAAATCAAGTTGGCACCTGGTATTTTTGGCCTGAGCACAGTGAGTGAATGTTGATGCCATATACAGAGAAAATAAAAGACTCAGGGTGGGAGGGTTCCCCTCAATGCTGGGAAGCATATCGAAGAGAGGGGAGAATGCAAAAGAGAATTAAGAACTTCCGGAATTGAGTCAGTAGTTAAGCAGTTTGGTCTAAGGCGGTATAACAGAAGGAATGAAGACGGATGGGCGGAAGGGCAAAAGGCAAGTGGGAATGGACAGAGAGAGCTGAGCCCAGAGGGTCAAAGTGACAGTACAATGCATAGTGGCAGGGTGCTTGCCTTGCATATGGCTGACCCAGTTTCGATCCCCGGCCTCTCATATGTTCCCCAGAGCCCACCAGGAGTAATTCCTGAGTGCAGAGTCAGGAGTAATCCCTGAGCATTGCCAGGTATGACAAAAAAGCAGGGGCTGAGGCCCTTCTAGGGGCTCTGGGGAAAGTGGCAGCCCAAATAGGCCAGAAAGCCTATGAACACTTTCAGCAATAATAAACACACCCCCACATGCATTCAGTTTCCTACACACATAAGTATATATTAACTGTAGTAGTGCTTTTAAAGCTGAAAAGAGGGAAATCGGTATATCAAAAAATATTGAAATATAAAATATAAAAAACTACAATATAATGAAAGATAACACAAACAAGCTTTTACAAACGAAAGGTTAGAGGATACAATTTCTAAAGCTGGTAAGGACTAACCAGAGTAAATGGTGAACTCTCACATACCACTAAGAAAAGTGGGCAGGGGGGGTGGTTCTCAAAGAAATGTACAGGTCCAATATCAAAAGACTGAGATTCTGACAAAAGTATAAATGATGCTGCCAGTGGAATGTGGGGTGTGTAGCTGCCCCCACACACTGTTAATTGTGGCCCTAAGTAAGTCAACCTTCTTGGAGGGCAATTGAAATATGTATAGCAGTATTGCAAAAGAGAAGACTCTTAATCCAAAACAAGCACTTCTGTGCATTTGCCCTGTAAAAAATACTGGTAAACATCTACAAAGACACAAGTGGAATCGTGTTTTATTGTATTCCATCTAGCTATTTTTATAGATAAAACCTACGGATAACTTAATGTTCATTAGTGGGAGAGGAACAAGTAAATCACGGTATACCTTTGCCCAGCAATATTATGATGCTTCAGTTTGTCCCTTTTTTGGGGGGCCACACCTGGTGGAGCTCAGGACTTGTTCTGGTTCTCTGCTTAGAGATAGTCGTGGCGGGGCTCAAATGGGATCATGTGGGGTGTGGGGAATCAAACTCAGGTCAGCCATGTACAATCCAAGCACCCTACCCATTGTACATTTTCTTCAATCCCTGAAACAGTTATATTTCAAAAGGAGTATAACCCCTCTGATGTGAAAAGATCTTTTTAAAATGGGAATAGATAAGAAATGACAGTGATTCATTTAGTAAATCATTAGTTGCATCTGTGTATGCATAGATGTGTATATAAATACCTAGAGAAAGACCTAGAAAAAAAGGAACAAAAATTGCTTCCACTGACACTGGAGCAATGGCACAGTGGGTAGACTGTTTGCCTTACATGCAGCTAACCCAGGTTCAAATCCCAGCATCCCATATGGTCCTCTGAGCACCGCCAGTAGTAATTCCTGAGTACAGAGCCAGGAGTAACCCCTGGGCATTGCCGGGTGTGACCCCCCCTAAAAAAATTGCTTCCACGATTACTCTGGATTAAGAGTGGGACTGTAGAATTTTTAGGAAGAGAAGCATTGTATTTTGCATTTTGTTTTTGAAGTGGCTTAAAAATTTTGTGCTGAAGGCGCCAGAGAGATAGTATAGCAGACAGATAGTACTGCACAGAGCAGACCCAGGCTCAATCCCTGGACCTCCTATAGTCCCCCAAGTCTGCCAGGAATGACCCCTGAAAGCAGAGTCAAGAGTAAGCTCTGAACATCTTCAGGTGTGTTCAAACAAGCCTAAATATGCAAACAACAACAACAGAATATGCTGAAGTAGAGACTATGTACTTGAAAAACTCTTATCTCTCTAAAGTTCCTTCCACTGTTCTAACCAAGAGCCTTTGAAAGTGACTGTGTGCCCAGCATGTGTGAAAAAAGTGGCCCTCTGCCCTGCCTGCCTGGAGCATAATGTGAGGAGTGTCTGTGTACGGTTCTGAGGTGTCACTCGAGTTCAGCTTGCCCATTCTTCTAGCCCTGCTCTGGCAGCGCAAGGATCAAAGGCTTAGCTGCTGACAGAGCTGAGAGGATGCAAGACTCGCTAGGTCACCTCTGCATAACAGCTGCATGGAAATGGATTAGAAGCAGACCCAGTCCTCCAGGGCTCAGCTGGCGAAGATGCTGAAATCATCCGCAGTTCTGTTCAGCCGCATCTTCCGTCTCTGTCTTCTGAAAATTTGTTTCTGCAGCAAGAGGCTGGCAAAACACATTGGCTGCAAAGGACAGTTACAGTATTAATTCCCAGAGCGTTTGTCAGGGTCGCGGGGGTGCAGTGACATCCAGTGGAGGGGCATTTTCATTAAACCAGAGACTGCCGTGGGCTTTGGCCACTCACAACTAAATTCCCTTTGCTATAAACAAGTGTGTCATTCCTGAGGCCCACAGGAACCATAGCAACAAATCAGCCAAATATCATAGTTTTGTTTTGTTTGCCTTTTGTTAAGCTTTCCTTTCCACACACAACTTATGTTACCATTTCTCTTGTAATTAGCATTTTTTCTTGTACTCTCTTACACCCTATCTAGGAACCAAGAAAGAAGTACAGAAAGATCAAGATACTAATAAAGCTGCTACTTCCTCCCCTAAGAGATTATCAACTGTGGCCAGCAAGCTTCACTCACCAGGTATTTAAGAAATGTTCGCTGGGTCATGTGGGGTGAAGACTTGAACTTGGAAATTATTTTATTCAAATGTCACCTATGAGGTTAGTAGGAGAGTTCCAGGGCTGGGCATACAAGCACTGACCTCTTCTGACTAACCAGGAAATGATCCAGTTGTGGGCATCATTTTATCTTAACAAACATGTTCTCATGCTATTCTTAAGTGGTAGAATCTTTTTTGTGTAAGAATATCTTCTATTCCAGCTGCATAACAAAAATAATATATCATTGATCAATTAGCTTGAAGTTCCTTTTTTTGTTTGTTTGTAGTCCACACCCACCAATGTTCAGGGCTTACTCCTGGTTCTGCACTCAGAAATCACTCCTGGTGTGCTCAGGGGACCATATGGGGTGTTATGGATCAAACCCAGGTTGACTGCATGCAAGGCAAGCACCCTACCCACTGTACTTACTACTCCAACCCTGAAATTCTAACCTTAAGAGAAAATGATTTTCATAACGAAGATAAAAAAGAAACAATAGATATCCAGGAGCTATGATTTTTCAAGGAGGAAATAATTTTTCCCCACATATGCGTGAGTAATAAGCCTATGTAACATCACTTAAAGTTTTGTAAAATATTATGAAAATCCATATTGTGAGGAATTCACTCCTTCATAAAATAGAATTACAAACATAACCTCAAGACATATTCTTCAAGTACACACACACACACACACACACACACACACACACACACACCCCTAGCAATAATAGTGCCACTGTGCTCAGGTCCTTCTCTATGACCACTGAAAATTGAAAACAAGAAATGACATGAAAAATGGTTGATCCCAGGCAAATTTTATTAGAAAATGAAAGAAAGCGAAGGGGAGAGAATGGGAGGTAAGGTGGAATGAAGGGAAGCAGTGAGAAAGGAAAAATTCCCAAAGCGTGGGGGAGGTCTCCAAGAGCAGGAATTTCTGCAAGATAAGGCTTTTTTGTTCTCTTCTCTGTCCACCTCTTTGCGTAGAGAGGTGACCAGCACTATTTTATCTTCTCTTCCAGCTGCAGCTCCCTATCCCTAGGGTCCCTGCAACCTTGATGGCAATATAGAGGGAGATAGTTAGTTAAGATGCTATGCCTTGCCTGTTCGTGCTATCTGACCTAACCTCTGGCGGTCCAGCCTCACTTTCGTAATCTTACTCTGTCTATTTCTCCCTGTCCCTAGTTATCAATATCTGCTCTACCATAACAGTTCATGTTTGAATTCTTCCATTGTGGCCGGTACAGTCCTAAACTCTGTAGACGGATTTGTTAAATTTGTTTTGTATTTTTTTATTTTTTGTCTATTGGGTCACACCCAGCATTTCTTAGGGCTTACTCCTGACTCTGTGTTCAGAGATCACTCCTGGCAGGAGATCATACAGGGTGCTGGGGAATCAAACCTGGGTACAACACAAGCACATTGGCTGCTGAACAATTTCTCTGACCCTGGATTCATTTATTTAATGCCATTATGACAGTGAGGCAGTCACACAGTTGCCCCTTCCTTGATATATGAGGAAATAGAAGTGCAGAGATTCCCATTAAATTTCCCAGAGTCACGGGAAATCAATGAAAATATCATTATTTGAAGGCAATAATGAAAATATCTTGACCTGAATACCAGAGTTTCTTGACCAGAAGTTCTTGATGACAAGAATTTCTGATTTGTTTGAAATGTTTAAGAAATAAGTCACAGAGAGCCAGAATGAAAGTACAGCGGGTAGGGCATTTCCTTGCATGCAGCTGACCCGGTTTTGATCCCTGGCATCCAATATGGTCCAGGAGTAATTCCCAAGTGCAGAGCTAGGAGTGATGCCTGAGCACCGCCAGTTGTCACCCAGATAAACAAAAAGAAAGCAAAAGAAATGTCACAGTCGCACATGTGTGAGTCAGGAGCACAGTCCTCACTAGGCTAATTAAAACAGGACTATTTAGGGGTCGGAGTAAGTAGTACAGCAGGTAGGGCATTAGCCTTGCACACAGCCAAACCAGGTTCGATTCTGAGCACTCCTTGTGGTCCACTGAGCACCACCAGGAGTGATCACTGAGCTCAGAGCCAGGAGTAAACCCTGTTCACTACAGGTATAGCCCAAAAAACAAACAAGGGAAAAACACAATCTTTTATGGGACACTACCAATTTACCAATTTAAATATAAGCTCATTTTCTGTCACTGAGTCTCAAGAGAATTTTGCTCAAAATAAGTTTTCGGATTTTTTTTTACTTTGTGCAGTCATGATAAATTTATTTCATTTAAATAAAGTGTTTATTTCATTTTTTAGTTCCTATATTTTATTTATTTATTATTAGTGAAACACCATGAGGTACAGTTATAGACTTATAAATTTTTCTGCTTGGGTTTCAGTTATACAATGATCAAGTACTCATCCCTCCACCAGTGCCCATCCTCCACCACCACAGGTCCCAGCATCCCTCCCACCCCCATCCTCCCCATCCCACCCTGCCTCTGTGGCAGGGCATTCCCTTTTGTTCTCTCTCTCCTTTTGGGTGCTCCGGTTTGCAAGAGAGGCATTGAGTGGCAATCATGTTTGGTCTATAGTCTACTTTCAGCATGCTTCTCCCATCCTGGGAGGATCCTCACAACACCCTTTATTTGGTGCTCTCTTCTCTATCTGGGCTTCCTTTTCCCCTAGCACGTGATGTTTATTTCATTTTTAAGGTAAAGAAACAATCACTAAAACAAAAAAGAAAAGAAGAAAGGTAAACATATCATGAAAGAGGACTCAGACCTAGACACTTTAGCTAGAAGGAAAGTGTGGACCCTCCCTGAGAAATTCCTCAGCAACTGAACTGTTCTGTCTCTCATTGAGACACAGACACCCACCCAGCACAGTCTGGCATTTCTCTGCTATATCTATGCGGGTGGCTCAAGCAGCATGTCATTAGGCATCCAAGAAATGCACCACCAGTAAGGGAAAGGCAGCAGAGTTCTCCTGTCATTTTTGACTTTGTTAAGGTGACATCAATAGGTTAAAATTTTTAGGATAATAAATAGAATATACAGTTCTCAACCAATTGATAAGAAAGAGGTGAAAGGAGGGATTTAAAAAAACTTTACAATACACTCAAATGACAGCCAAAAGGAAGAAGTGGAAAAAAGGAAAACAAAAAATGAAAAGTGGTAGAGAAAATGGAATAATTGAAAGAATTTCATAGGATATTAGAAATGAATTCAAATATATTATAATGACCCTAACTGAATTAAATTCTTCCCAAACTCAACACTTTTATGGAATAGTCGGCTAATATTTATGAAGTGTGTATCATATGCATAAAATCCAGCTCTAGGAGTCAGAGACGATACCCTGAAAGGCAGTGTGCCTGCTAACCCTGTACATGCAGGAAGCCTGGGTTCAACTCCCAGCACCTGTGATTCCTCTGAGCAATGCCAGGAGCAAATACTGAGCCAGGAGGAGCCTATGAGCACTGTGTGCTCCCATGAAAAGAAATAAAATGCTTGCTTTAGAGTGTTTATAAAACATACATATTTAAAATATAATAATATAATGGGCTTGAAAGGAAAATTATAGAAATCGGTATACCAAGAAAATACTGAAACAATAAAGGTTTGTGGTGCTATAGTTTTGAAACAGATTTATGTTGATATGAATAAAACAAATACTAAACAAAGTCGATTTAAATGGTATAATTTAAATGGCATCATTTCAGAATATCTGTGCAGTGGTGAAACTGGATAGACCCCAAACTCCTTTGGTTCTCAGCACAGATAGAAATGAACAGGGACCCCAGGAGAGATTCTGTTTGCTTGTGCATGTGGGAGATTTCTTGGGATAGTATTTCTTGGCAGAGTTTCCCAGCAAGACTGGCAAATATTTCAGAGGCAGAACTGAGAGTAAAATGGAAGCATGGAGAGAAAGAAAATGCAGGAAGTTGGGCGCTCAGTGGACAAAACATATTTCTACATGAATTGCTTGTCTTACCTGCGTGTTACATCTCTGTCTGTTTTTTTAGTTGTTGTTTCGTTTTCTGATTCACACTTTGTAGTGCTCAAGCTGGCTCTGAGATCAGGGATTACTCCTGTTTGAGCTTGGGACCATATGGGGTGCCAGGGATTGAACTGGGGTTGGCTGCATGCATGACAAATGCCTTAGCCCCAGTAGTATCATTCTGTCCCCTGATTTTTAGTACTAAAGTGAAGAAAATGTCACTGAGGGGCCAGCACTAGTGTCCTTCTTGGCATAAGTTGATTTAATTAGTTTTTTTCCACCAAGTTCTTCTCACTAGCAACATTCTCCCTCTATGTTCCAAGAATTTGAGGCTTAGCCTTCTATTTGGCAGTGTTTAGTGAAACAAGTGTGCTTCTGGTCTGCAGTGGTGTGGTGGGGTAAGGTTATCCCAAACACAGGCCTTAAAGTATTTCAGAACCACCAATTTAAACTCACAAATGTGGGGGCTGGAGAGATAGCGCAGCAGGTAGGGCATTTGCCTTGCATGCGGCCGACCCGGGTTCGATTCCCAGCATCCCATATGGTCCCCTGAGCACCGCCAGGAGTAACTCCTGAGTGCAGAGCCAGGAGTAACCCCTGTGCATCGCCGGGTATGACCCAAAAAGCAAAAAATAAAAATAAAAGCAAAAAAAAATTTTTTTAAAGTAACAAACGTACTCACCACCCCTGAAGTGTCCAGTGCTCACTTGCCATCTTCACCTTTCCCTCTGCCACCTCACGCCCATAGATTAGTTTGTATTTTATTTTACATTTTATATCAATGAACTCATGCAGTATACACTCAGATTTTTTAAAATTTTATTTTCAAGGAGTTGTTCACAATAATTGATCACATTCAATATTTCAACACCACTCCCACCACCATTATTTTGAGTTTTCCCACCACCACCCAAGACTGCCCAAAAGGCAGATGCTAAGTAATTTATTTTGTATTGCTTGTTATGAATAATTGACTAAAAGTGATCAAAAAGGTTTCCTTAGAGGAAAGTCT